ACGGTCGCAATCAAATACGATAAATGATCCAGATTAAGGCGAGATGAGTATAAATATTTCGTATTATACTGAACCCAAACTCTAGCCACCAGCCTCTCACCGGAGAAAAAGAATCGGTCATCAGATAAGGGAGCCGACCACTGACCGCCGCCGCACCGAAGCTACCTCCGACAGCCAAAAAAGGTGACAATTGCCCTACTCGCTCGGAATTTGATTCCAAGCACCTCCATGACCAAATCGGAGCAAAACGAACGATGGGTGAGCTAAAAATCGCGGGCAAAACCCGTAACCTTCTCTAATGAGCCCTTTCCCATTTTTCTTTTCGTGCAATTTTTCTACCGCTGTGTTCACCATTCTATTTTCTACAGGTTTACCGAAAAAAACTTTAAGCCGTAAAGGTGAGCCGGCGGAGCTGCCGCACTCAAGAAACCCCACTGCCAGTAAGTTTTTATTTTCTGATTTTTTCAGTCAACTGAGGCTCCTTAACATTTTTTTTGCATAGATATGTATAAAACCGGTTAAAACTTGCCAAAAATGGCCAGGCCAGGTAAACTACCGCCGCAAGCGGCAGTGTCATCGCCATAGCACGGTGATGCTGCCGTGCCAGAACTCCAAAATTAGTCGAAAAAGATTTTTTACACTGATTTTGGATTCGTAGGGTATTCTTAGGTACGTGACAAGTGCTTTGAATTCTGTAGGGATAATTCAATAAATCCGGGAACCGTTAGTACGCACAATAAAAAGTTCAGTATTTCGAACATCGATTCGGGTAAAAATCCCTCATTCTTTTATATATTATGGCAAATTGAGACTTAATAATTAATAATTGTGTATTTTATAAAAAATTAGAGAATTTTAAAAATAATTACAAGTTACTAGTGGAGACGGAACCGGTTAGTTCATAGTTGTTTTGATTTCCTATTTATTTTTATGTATTGCCTATATTTGTTTACTATTATACTGTGCATAACTTAATTTATGAATTTTAGGGTCTTTTTTATTATTTGATTATTTATTTTCCCTACATTGTGTGCCGGTATTTCGATCATTAGTTATTTGGATGTTAAACTATATTGTTGTCTAAGTGAATTATAAGTATAAAATGAGATATAATTATTGTGTGGTTAATTGTTATACTAATAGAAATCTATATGGAAAAGATTTATTAGGTACTCGGGAAAGAGTGGACAGGCTCGGTACATAGGGAACCCTACCGTGAATATTACCTCAGTCGGACAAGGCTGGTAAGTCCCTTACCAGTAAGGTTTGAGAGATATGGTTTACCTTCATATCGAACGGGGTATCAAAATGGTGGAATGTTTGATGCCTATTACCGAACGGGGTATGAAGATGACCGATTAATTATTTAATTAGATATTGGGTTCACGAGTAAAAGGACATCCTATGGATCCCCATAGGTACCGGTAAATAGATAAAAATGAAAATTGATTGTTTCTTGTTATCTTATATGTGATAAAT